TCATTTATATTTTTTTAGATTCTGATCCCTCTCATTTACCAAAGCTATATGATTCTGGATAAATTTATTTGCAAAAAAGATGAAATTTTGTTCATTCTAAAATTTTGTCCTTTCTTTACTTTTTGAGGGCTCAAAGAAAGAAAAAAAATTTTAATAAATTATTACTTTATTTTACATATTTTTCTACCATTCACATTTTTTTATATCATTTTATTATACTCTAGTTATAATTAAGGACTATAAATCATCAAACTACCAGTACTTTTAACGCATAATGATTCATAAAAATATTTTTTTTTTTAAAAAGTGAGTGAACTGCCCATCAAAATTTTTATATCAGATGTTAGTTTGCTCTTTCAACTATCTTTGAATAAAATATTTTTGAAATAGAAGGGGGCGAGTTGACAGAAATAATCTCCTGAAGTTACTCAACTCAGTTGATCAAAAAACTGCAAAACAGACCCATTTACTAAATAAGTAAGATACTTATTTGCAAAAAAAGGTGTTTAAATGACAGATTACTTTATTCTGAACAAAATATTAAAAAAAATTATTGCTCCATGACAAATATGAGGTGAGTTACAATCATTAATAGCCTTTGATGTATGAATCAAAATGGCAGCAAATGTGCCATTTTGGCAAAAATACAAATGCTTATAACTTTTAAACCCATTAACCGATTTAAATATAATTGATATTTTTGAAATCAGCACAAAAAATTCTATAAGTGTACAAATTTTCATCAAAATCTGAGATGGTGGGTGCCATTTTTGTAAAATCCTGTATGATTTGACATGGAATGACCCAATCGGCAGTTTCCATCTACCCGTTTTCTCCTCTATGAAGAGGCAGACATTCAGAAGAAAGAAAGCAGTTGTTTGAAACAACTAATAAATTTTGCTTTTTTAGGAGGGGGTGCTTATTTTGACAAGATTTATAGATGGAACATTAGTGATCAGGTTTCTTCTTATAAAGTAATTTATGTCCAACTGGTAATAAAAGTGATATAAGTTGTTAGAAATATTTTTTTCATTATGTGGGCAGAAAATGGTATATATACAACTTAGATTTAATTTCTGAAATTTCAAGAGCCATAGGTGTCCTAATTTTCCTGATAATTTTTTTTTTTATCTGGGTTTTATTAATTTATTTGATATTAATTTTCATTCAGGTTTTATTCATTTATTATTAATAACATTCTTGATTTTTGTCTGTTCAGAATATCCTGTTCTATACAAACACAATTGAGGACTTAATGAAATTTTAAGAATCGAAATGTTTATATTTTTAATGGAATATCTTTTCATTTTTATTAAAATATCTATTAAAATTAATTAATGGTAAAAATTGCTAAATTCGATAATTCAAACTTCTCTTCTAATTAAATACATGGTTTAGGCATATAACCTTATTCACAGGTTTCATTGTTTAAAAATTTTTGGAAATGCAATTCAGGCATTTTATGAAAAAAGAACTATCAACAACTTGATATTATGTATCAGATTTTTGTGGGCATAAAATCATTGATCTTGCCTCTGTGTCTTATTTTCGGCTTTCTGCAACAAGTTTTCCTTGCTTTAATATATCTTTCTGCAAGATACTTTTAATGATAATAATTACTAATTTAAAGTAACCGAACTGTTGTGATTACAAAAAAAGAAAAAAGAAAGAGGTAAGATAAAGTAAGAGGTGACTCATATCGATTAAAATTGAATATGATTTTTTTTAGTTTTGAATGTAATACTTCTTTTCTTTTTTATTCTATTATTATGGGCTATATTCTATTCTCTCATTTTGAAAGTGCACAAACGCACTGATTATTTTTATTTTTAAATTTTGTAAATCATTATTACATTGAAGAAAAATTATTAATAATCGTAAAATCCATGGTACTACAAAGAAAAAGATCAGCAAAATTACACGAGTCTGACTTTTTAATAATGGGTTACTAAATGCTTGTTTCTCTTTGAGATTCGATGGTAATAAATAATATCGTATTATAAATGTAGAATTTTAAAAACAATTCAATAACAATAACTGCTACAAAAATAGATAGCAAAAAGTAATAGAATCATAGCATCAAAAAGTATGTACTCAGACGTGACTTCCCATATTAACTGAATTTCCCATATTATCTTAAGTTTATCAGTATATTTAAAAACCACATGAAAATCAATATAAATAATTGCCGAAAATGTAACTAAAACATCACATGAATGTACGATACTATTGGCATAAATTGAGCCAGTCAAACAGTGATAATTTAAATGAGTGATGGAATTTTAGATAGGGAAGTAATATCACAGCGCTAGCAAACACTGCCTAAAAGTAAAAAACGATGAAATATTCACACTATGAGCGTGATATTTAAATTTTGCGTGTAATAAAACTGTATGAAAAATCTAATTTTTAAGAAAAGGAAAATTCATATCAATAGTTGTTGAAAAAAACAATTGAACTTTGCTTGGATTAACGATGATATTGGCGCAAACTGAAAATGCTGAGAAGTGATTTCTTAAATGCGCGATTCAAACTCTCATGCCTTAATAAAATATTGGTAAATTTAATACCAATATTTTATTAAAAAATACTCTCATGCCGATGTTTTTTAATAAAATATTGGTATTAAAAAATACCAATATTTTATTAAAAAATATTGGTATTTTTTAATAAAACATGAGAATATCAATAGTAATAACTGAGCAATAAAAGACATCAGGACATCAAAAAAACCAAATGAAAATTCGTAGCAATAATTATCAAAAAAAAAAAGTGTAAAATATGGTGTTCTTTTTTTTTTCTCTGAGAAAAGGAAAGAACATCATTTTGTGAGCAAAAACTATCTTTTATACTTTCGCAGTCTAAGGTTTTGATTATTAATTATTAAAAATTCTAGCTTTAGTCAGTCTTAACCAAATTTTTCGTTGTTCTCAATTGAGAATAGAAAAATCATGAGCGTATCTTTCACTCCCATTTGCCAGAAAGGCAACTTTAGAAAATAATTCTGCAGAAAAAGATACTCAAAAAATTGTGCAAAAAAGAAAAACGAAGTTTTTTACTTCCGAAATGAAAATTCTTTCTTCAAGAACTCTGTAACAATCTGTGACAGTGTGGCTGTATTTCCACAATTCTTCCTCGGGGACCATTGCTTATTTTTTTTTTCAGCCACAGGAAGTGCAGATTATTAATCTTGTAGGGTAAACTTTAATAGTTTCACAATTATCGATCCTATCATCAAACTTTTTACGTGTATTCTATCAATCATCCACAAAATTACTTTTGTATAAAAATGTTTTGTAGTGTTTGTTTAGAGTTTATTGAAATCTTATTTTAAAATTGTTTCTTTAAAGATCTCACGAATTTAGCAAACTTAAAAATTAAATATTGATAAGAAACTTAAATACTGGTTACTTATTTTTTATAATATAAAAATTTATATTGACTTCAAATAAGTATGAGTTGTTCATTGCTCCATTAATTGGCTGATAACTCACTATTCACAACAGAGTGATTCAATAAATTAAAAATGTTTTAGAATGTTTATTATGTTTAAGTAAGGCAAAATATACTTATTTAGTTTTTCGTTAGCCCTGTAGTCTGATATCTATTAAAAAAAAGTAGTACAATGTAGCCTCGGTTAAGCGGACTCTCTTGGGACCAAAAAAATTATCCATTTACAAGAGAGGGGGAGGATACACTTATAACAAAGGTTATAGATTTCTCTTAGAATAATTGCAATGATGCAAAATACATCTTTTCAGGTAAATTGCACATAGAAAAAAGCTCTTGGATACATTTTCTCTTGGAGTTGTTCTATTCACAATCGATCTTTTGTCAAGAGTCTGGATAAATGTTTCATTTATATGAATGAATGCTTAAATTTGTCTTTTTTTTTTCCAAGCCACCTTTGTTAAGTACAAGGATCAAATTGATTAGAAGGAGTTTTTAGTGGGAAAAGATATATGAGAGAATTTCATGTATAGTTTCAACTTGTAGGGTCTTACATCCTGAGTAACCCAGACAAAAAGAGCAACACATGCTGCTGTCTGAAATATTTCACCTGAGGAGTATCATTTTTTCTTTGCTGTGATTGAAGAGAATGAATGATTGATTGAGTTGTGAAATAGCTTAACGTTATTTTTATTTATGGGTGAGCAAAAATTACACATGCTTTAAGAAATGATTGTAAGTTGCATATATTTTTTTGGAATTGAAAGTTGAAATAGTTTTTTTTTTTGTAAAAGAAGTTTAGAAAAAGTGGGGATCAGTTTGAACAGATTGAAAATATGCTTTTGGGCATAAATAACTGCCCGCAGCTGGTTATGGAAGCGTTCAATTTACTTAAAAGTTACATAATAGTTTGTTCATAGAAGATTAACAAAGAATTAAATAGTCTGTGATGAGAGGCATCCATTTTGTAGATGTGTTCGTAACAGGAGGTTTCATTGTATATGGATCTTTTTAAATTAGGATATGTATATGAAATGGTATAAATACTTTAAAAGTAGTTTATCTAATTACGAAACCTGAATCTCCCATAATCCTGAATTTTCCATAGGCCTACAATTTTAGTTTATAAAAGTATTTATCTGTCATTTAAAAAAAGGGTACTAATTTAACTGGTGAGTGTTTATTTTTGAATCTGCAAAACTTTTGTAACTATCATAAATCTTATAGCAAAACAATTTAAATAATTTTGCTTTTAAGACTGTAAATGCAGCTCAAGACCTTTTTTTGTATCATCTTTCTGTTTTTTTCTTTTTTCTGAACTGATCAAAAATACATGTCAACTTGTGTTATGAATTTTTAAAAAAATGCAGATTTTATTTTTAATGTTTTGTTAAATTAATCTGTGAAAAGCTTATTTCATTTGTGTTTCGAATTTTCCAATCCATTTTTATCATTTATAGTCTAGCCTAGTCCTATTACTTTTTTAAGTGATATTTTATCTTTTTCTTATTTGCTTTCTGAATCTAAATATTTTATTCTTAATCTTGTAGAATTCCAAGATGCATTTTCATTATTTGATAGTCGAGGGGATGGAAAAATCAGTATTTCTCAACTCGGTGATGTCCTTCGTGCTTTGGGACAAAATCCAACTGAAGCAGAGGTAAAGAAATGCTGTCCTCAGTTAAAACCAGGTTTGCCTTCAACATAATTTTTGTTCTCATTGTTAAAAAAAGAATGAATGTATGATTGATATATGTATATAAAAATTTCTTCATTATTTTTTAGATGAGCGAATTGGATTTGAAGTATTCTTACCAATTTTGCAGACTATCAGTAAAAACAGAAGCACTGATACTGCAGAAGATTTTATTGAAGGTTTAAGACACTTTGATAAAGATGGAAATGGTTTCATCAGTTCTGCTGAGTTACGACATCTTCTCACTACTCTAGGTAAAACGTAATGCTTTTATGTAGAAATCTTGTTCACAATATTAATAAAAATTCAGTCTTAGTTTTTCTGATATTTGTGTTGGTTAGTATAATATTATTTGTTACTTGTTAGCTATAATAATACTTGTAAAACTAATTAAAAACAGAATGTTAAAACTGGACTTCAAGATTTGTTTAATATCGAATATGCTATATATAAATTTTTATTTTATAGTAAGATTAAAAAAAAAATTATGTATGAAAGTAATTGTCATTTCTACTTCATTTTTTTATAATGCCTAAGATTTTAGTCCCTAGCTTTTTTTTTTCCAAATGTTTTTTTCTTTAATTACAACTATTGTTTCTTATATGATATCTAAAGCTTTATGCCTCATAAAGAGTAAAACTAAAAATAGATATTTTTAAAAATTCTACAGCAGTTCCCTAAGCATTCCTCTATCTATATATTGTTGGTAAATCCACAAATAAATGTACATTTTTTATAAATATGAGTATCTAACTGCATATTATTTGAATTTTATGCTAATACAGCACAAATAATTAAAATTATGTTAGAAGAGGACATGATGTTATCAACTGTTTTATATATCTTGGAGACTATTTAGGAGACTTTTTTTCATATATGATGCAACTAAAGCAACTTTTTTTCTTGTTTTCATCCAGTGGTAGCCCTGTTCTAATTCACTTCATTAAATTTTTCATGAGAAGTTTCACTGATGCTAGTTTTAAATGTTGGCTGGTATCCTATGTCATACCTGCCAGCTGTTCCGGATTTTCTGGAAGTTTTACGGATTTTCCACCTTTTTTCCGGGTAAGAGCAAAATCTTCCGGATTTGTTCCGAGTTTTTGGAAAAATAATAAAAACTCTCCAAATTTGGCGCTTACGGGCCTTTTTCAGAGCGATGCTTTAAAATGTGCATCGAAATTGTGTTGCGGGTTACCGTAGTAAGGAGAAACAACCCGGTTTATGAAGAATTCGCCAACTCCGCTGAGAGTGCTACAGTGAGGTCAGTTTATGAAGAAGCGCGCGCATCTTCAGAGGAGTGCATTGAATATAGGGGAGGGGCGGAAGATGGAAGGCTCTGTGCAGCACTCATTGACGCCGGTCGGTCAGTTGTGTCGCTGTTTACTTTAGCACGCGGTATTGTTAGGATTGATTAGTGTTTTGTTTTTTACTAAAATGAGCAAACATTATTTACAAACATTTAAGGAATCATACTGTAGTGATTTTCCTGGCATTTTACGATCGCGAGATGGTGATAAATACACATTTTGTAGCGTTTGCTCATGCAACTTTATGATTTGTCACTGCGGAAAAAATTATATTGTTGAGCACATGAAATCCAAAAAGCACGTTAAAAATGTTAAATGTGCATCTGGAAATTCAACAATAAATAATTTCTTTCGAAAAAACAATGAGAACAATAATTCGAGAAAACAATTGATAATACGTTTACTGCTGATATTTTCAAAAATGCTAAACGTGCCCCTTCATCAATAGTCAAAATTTAGATTAAATCCAGGACATAAAAGCTTATTTTGTCATTTGTACCAATTATTATAACAAGGTTTCTTTTCTTTTTTTTTTTTGGATTATCTTGCTTAACCGAGTTATGTCTTACATCTGTTTTTCATGTTTACCCTTTAAAAATAAAGTTTAATATTGAAATTTTTTTTAAATTTCATACATTGCTACATAAATTTATTGTAATATTTTTAACTTAATTAACCTTTTCTGAAATTATTAAAGCAATTAGTTCTTTAATTTTATTACAGTGTCCAGGATATCAATAATATATATATATATTGAAAAGTAAGCTTTAATTAACTTCTTGATGGATGCAACTTGTCTTAGTTATCCATGCTTAATTAAAATGTTTTGAAGCATTCTTGGAAGTGTGAATTTTTTCCTTAATTTTAAAAATATGGTTGGAGCCCTGTGTAAACCTATTATTTATAAATCATTTTTCTTTTATGGATTACATATTTTTTTCATTATGATAATTTCTGAAAGTAACTATATTAACTTAATCATTATTTTATGAACATATTCAAAATTCTATTTTATTGATTAAATGTACAATTCTTTATAATTTTTACTATTCAAAACTGATTTTAGTATTGTAAATTATATTTTCTCTCTCTCAGATTAAAAAAAGGGAGTTTTTGATTATCAATTCCCAAATTTTGCGTTCAAATTTATACCGTATAAAATCTTCTGGATTTTTAAGAAAATCTTCTGGATTTTTTCCCCTGGAGGTTGGCAGGTATGCTATGTCAGTTGGAGGTTGTTTTTTTGGTCACTTGGAATTTTTCAAAGTGATTTAAAACAGCAATGTAACTATCAACCATTTGTACATAGCTGCCAACTGTTCCAATGAAATCGTATTTGTTCCGAATTTTTAGCTTTGTTCCGAAAATACGATTTTAGATCAAAATTTTCGGATTGTTCGATATTATAGCAACGTTACACTTCTTATGCCAATTTTCTTTCAACCCAGGAAAGGTTTAAAACCTAGAAACAGGGTATGTGATTTTTTCCTCGAATTTCTCAGATTTCCACGTATCTCAAGACAAATGGTTGGCGGACTTCCTTGAATTTAAAATTTATAATCCGACGAAATTTTGAAACTTTTGCTAAATCACGCTAACGACACATTTATGATTCTTACGCCCATTTGATTCCTTTGATGTAGCTGATTTTTGCCATTTTATAACTTAGGAACTCCGTCAGAATCTGCTAGTATCGCAATTCTTATTCACACGATTTTAATATCAATCGTCGATTTTGGTACTTAGCTGATTTAAAATTTACGCAATTTAAAAATTCAATATCGCAATTTTTATTTTCTTGTTTTTAAAATCCAATATAGCGATATCTATTCGCGCGATTTTAGAATCCAATATCGCTATTCTTGTAAGAAGTAAGTTTTTTTTAATTAGTTACTATAAAGTTGTGATATTCTTCATTAATAAGTAATTTAATTAAAACAGTAAACTCAAAAATTATGTTACATATGAAACGTGCATGGTCTATAAATTGATATTTTGCTACTGATGTTATGATTTTTGATATTTTGTTTTACTCTTTGTGTCATTATTTCCCGATTGGCTTATCATGCTTTGTGTTCCTATTTTTGTTTTTACCAAGTTGGCAACTATGTTTGTACTATTAGCCGATAAATTTAATAAAATTTTTTTTTTTTTGTTGTCAAATAGGCATTATGATTTAAAAATATAAAATTTCTGCTTCTACGTCATTGTAAAATCTGGTTGACATGTACTTTAGCATATAACAACAATATTGAATAGGTCCTTGAAAAATTTGATTTTAGCTCCTTGAATTTTTTTAAAAAATTGAGTGGGAACCCTGGCTTAGCTTTCTTATCTATGTTGAAAAGCTAACTCCTGGTGGTCTGGTCACTACTCATGAACTCCTCACTTACTGCCAGATTCATTGTATTCTTTTCTAGTTAAAGAAGGTACAGGGATAGTGATTGAAATTCCAAGAAACACTCCAACCAGTTCATCCCTACTTCCTGTGGGTTCACACAATTCATCTCTGTTGCAAGTTCTACTGATAAAGAAAGTTTTGACTTTTGTACTCTATTATTAGAAATTCAAGAAATGGAGGCTTTGGGAAAAAAAATCGACATAAACATAGAAAATACATTGATTTTAGACAGTAAATGTAAGGAATTTTAGAAATTTCAAGATATAGAGGTTTTCGAGATAAAGAGGTTCAAGATAAACAGGTTCAACTGTATATTTTCTTTACCATGGATTTTCACCACGAAGTATGTAAAAAGCGTGGATTTCACAGTGTTCTATTTAACGTCTTCACTATTCGGCTGTAATCCATTTTGGCATACGATCGGTCCGCAGCGTATGAAAGTGCCGATCACTTTACTTGTTTGATGAAATACTTGCGGGTTTGCATGCGATTATATGCTGAGCTGGATTGAGTGGGAAGGATTCTTGCACTTCCGTATGCAACTCTGCTACATTTTGCAACATATTCTCAATTTCAGGTTTAATTTTCCGCCCTCTGGAATCGAACCGAAAAATCTCTCAAACTTTCGCTGATCACAGGGGACCAACTAAACATTGGCAAATTTTAATAGCAAAAGAAATTTTCTTTTCTTAATTTCATTGTAGGTGAAGCATTATCGTCTTCGTCCATGGCAAGCCAATGGCCTTCTTGCGCTTTTCTAATTATAGATTAGTACCATAATCTTTGAATTTGACTTGAGGAACATTCACTAAGTACATATCAACATACTAGTTATTTTATCATGATTATGTAAAGTATTTGAATATAATTTTGCATTTTGTTAATGTATATATGAAATTTCAACAATAGGAAGAAAATTTTTTTACTAGTCCACAGATCCTAATTATAATATTTTTTTAAAGTACTTAAAATTTCTTTTCAGTGCTTAAAAATTTCTTTTGAGTGCTTAAAAGGTGCTTATTTTTTGTTGAAAAATTTGGCTAGGCACCCTGACTAGGTGTTGCCAAAACACAATAAGGAATAATGATGTTCTGGATGTCCCATGACAGAGTTCATTTGCACAAAACTTCAGTATTCGATATATATCACGATTATTAAATTTTTACATAGTTTAATTAATTTTTTCCTAAATATAACATTAATTGGGTATTTTTATGAATTTGAAAAAACTCTTATTGAGATTAATTAAGTTTACAATCAAAGTTGTTTATTTTTTGCAATTCCTACCACTAAAAAAAGTTCCCCTTCCTATTGTAATAGCAACTCTTCCATTATTCGAAGTTTAAAACAATCATTTATATTATTTAAGGAATGTATATTAAGCAACGATTTCTTACTTATGTATAACCAGTTTTATTTATTCTATCAGTAATTCAGCTAGGATTTGACAACTATGGACCCTTAAGACTCAAAAAATTCAAATTTCCTTTTATTCTCAAGGTGGGTCTCTATTTAAAATAATATGTATCTTCAATTTATATTCTTGAATGACAGTCTGAACTATGGTAACCATAATTATTTAAAATTTAGTCGCACATATTCTGTTACTTGCATTAGTATTTATCTTTTTTTACTATGTATGCATTTTTTTCTAGTAACAGAAACTCTTTTTTTCTTTTGAAGTTAGGTTTAATTTTGCCCACTAAGATCTGATACTCTATTTTCTTTTTGATGGAGGATACAGCTTAATTTTTTAATGTTATTTCAATATTTTAAAGCATATTTGATGCACAGTGCATTAGCAGAATGGCTGGCTTGGTTTTTTGACCAGTAATGAAAAAAAATTAATTATGAAAAATTTTTATTGTTAAATTTTTTTAAAATTTTTTTAACCAATTCTATTTTTTCCTTATTTATATTAATTCTATTATTTATATTAATTTTGAAATGCCTATTAAAAATTATAGTTGATAAAGTTATTAATTTTTTTTATTTTAAAATATGTATTTTATTTAAGTTATCTGACAGATCTTAAGCTAGGCTAAAATATATTAAGAGACAAAAAAGGAATAAAACAACTTTGATAATTTTACTTTACCAACTTTGATAATTTTATTTCACATATTTCTAGCATGATTGAAAATATAAGTGTCATAATTATGTCGGAAATTTGGATTTACCAAAATGAAACTAATTTTTACTCAATAGATGGTTATAATTCATTCTTTAATTGCNAGATTTAAAAAATGTGTTTGACAGATTGTCAATTTTTTATTGTTAAAAGAAATTTTTTTAAAAGTACATTAAGTAATTATAATTTACATCTTTTCAATTAAAATATTAAAAACAATTATTTTCAAGAGCAAATTATTTACCAAATTATTAAATTTGATCATAAAAAAAACAAGTTACTGTTACACATCCTGAGTCTATAAGAATAGCATTGTTTGATAATATTGTTGCCACTCAACAAAAACAAATTTCCCAAAAACTACTTATATTTTAATGAATTTGAACTTTTAACTATTATATAGGTTTATAGTATCAGAATTTTTTTTTAAAATTTCGTTTAAAAGGAGTGACCCTGAAGTTTTATTTTATAAGTATGACGCTTTCAGTCTGTTACTACTTTATTATGAAATTACCACATTAATAGAGATGTGTAATTTTTTTTAAGGTGAAAAATTGAATGATGATGAAGTAGAACAGTTACTGGCTGGACAAGAAGATTCTCAAGGGAATGTCCACTATGAAGGTAATTTGTCCTTCATGTATACATTGAATTTTAACACTTTCATTACAGTAATGATACACCTTTATCTCACCCTCTGCGCTTAGATTTTCCCCACAGCACTAAAATTGAGACAAGTGCAAATTCCTTTAAAACTTATTATTTTGCTTTAAAAAATAGTAATCAATAACCATATTCACTAATAGAAAACAATGAATATTCCTGAAAGACAAGTTATCTCATCACATTCATGGTAAAAGAGCTAATGACCAAGCTGTGAAGAAACAAAAAAAAAGAAAAGAAATAAAACTAATGCAAAGTAACATTTAAAAATATGTAATCTCTTATTTCAGTTAAACTCTGAGTGGATAATTGTTCTGTGTGACATTTTGAATAAATTAGCTTTAATATTTATAATATCATTATTTATGAAAAATTATGTTTTTACTTAGAGGTGCACAGCAGGTAGACTAATGAAGTGCCCCATGTGCGAATACAAACATTAGTGTTCCAAACACTATCAGTATACTTACTGATGTATTTGTAGATATCAAAACATCAGCTGTTGTAAAAATATAGTTAAAGTATCGTAAAACTGCTTGAAAAAGTGTTACAACAGCTGCAAACGAATAATAAATTAAAAAAAACAGCAGAAAATCACTTATTTGCAATGAAATCAGTCCAAATAAAACTCAAGAAGTTGTTTTTTTAAATGCTAGGTTTAAAACACATGGAAATACTTAAGAGTGACAATACTGACAAATGATCGAAAGATAACTTGGACTTGCAATTAAATCAGTACACACGTAGCTTGGCAAAAAGTAATTATTTCAATGCTTGATTTGAAACTCAGGTTTAGTTGTGAAAACTACAGGGGTGTTCAAATTTGTATGAAAAAAAGCAGCAATAATTGCGAAAGAGGAAAAAAAGAATCTTAGATTAACGATGTAATCTTGACAAGTAAAGCTTGTCAAAAAGATAATTATTTACAAGTGCAACTCGAATCTCCTGAGTCATAGTATGATATTGCATCAGGATTATAAAGCCATGTGAAGATCAATAGTAAGAACTGCTTAAATAAACAATCAAAATGTGGCTTTGATTTTTCGATGGTAGACATAAAGCGAGTGAAAAAGTAATTTCTATTAAAAAATGCCTTTCATATTAAAGATTTCTCAATTTCAGGTTTCATTTTCCACCCTTTGAAATCGAACCGAAAAATCTTTCGATCTTTTAATGGTGGCTAATATAATTAAGAAAAAAGTTCTTTGTCCGAAACTAGCTATTTTATCATGTAAAGTCTTTGAAAATGATTTTGCAATTTGTTAATGTTTGTAGTACATAAAAGGTGCTTATTTTTTGACGAAAGATTTGGCTTCGCACCCTGTTATTGTTTGTGAGTTTCCAATGGGTGAAATTTATTAATCCCTTAAGTTAGTTTGAATATTCTCATCAGCGTTTGCACTCGTTGTGTTCTAATTTGTTAAAAAATATTTATTTTAATGTTAATTTATAAAAGGATTTATAATATTTGTATTTATAATCAGTTCAAATTTAAACACTAATGAAAATTTTCTCCTCAGATTTTGTTCGAATGGTGATGAGCGGCTGAGCAGAAAAGGAGACAAAAAAAGGACAAGACAATATTTTGCATTTAAAAACACTTTAGAAATTTATTTTGGATATATTTATCATTTACTTTGTTTTCTGAATTTTGTTATGAATCAAATTGCAATGAATGTATTTCAGTTTTTACTTAAAAAATTTTGTAATAATTATACTTCTTTTTTGAGTTTGTTTTTTATTTTATCACCAGTAAACATTACTTTTTCAATTCGTTACATGTATTAATTTTTAATGGCAATTTTATTCTTAAGAATATAATAATTCCTATTTTAAAAGTTGTTGAACATTTTTTACATACAGTAAAAGTATTTCATAAAGGCAATTTACAATAGCTGATGGAATTGTTTTAGTGAACTGGTCATTACAAGCGATACTACATATTTAATTTTAGAATAGTGTTAAGGTCTTGTAAAATTAATGATGAAAAGTGCAATAGCATTTGAAGCCATTGGAAAATACTGAATGATGACTTCAAAAATAAGCGGCGGAGAAAGGGCATTTAGGGGGGTGTTGGTCAATGAAAGCAAGTATGTTTCCAAGTGAGCTACAGCATTTTATTGTAAGATGAATGATAATTTTATCATCTACATATTTGCTTTTTTAGTCTAATGTTTTTCACTTAAACAACAGAGAAATTTAATCCCTTCCAAGAAGCATTTGGCCCAGTAGCAGAAGGTTGGTAATTTTTAATTTGTAATTAAGGAGGGACACCACCCTGAGATGGTAAAATATTAACGTTTTTCTTGAATTTTTTTTTTTTAAGTAATAGAGACAATGCAGAGACTCCTTGTTTTTATTATGTTATTTAGTTACAATTTAAGTCTCTTTTAAAAATTTATCTTTTGCAAAATAGTAAAAAATAAGTTGGTGGCAGCTCCGTGTGTGGCTGGTCATCAAAAAGTAGCACCTCATTGGCCTCGTGGATTTAGCAGTCCTGAAACAGAAAAACGATTTTATTTAGATTTTCTGAAACATAAAGACATTATCTAAAAAGTAGCTTAGCGGTGTTTTGATTTTTGCAAAATTACCAAAATAGTGGCATCTTAAAAAAATATTCATTAAAATACTAATATAAAAAAATTCTATGCTACTTTCTAAAGAATATATTTTTACGTAATTTAAAATAAAGAACAGTTTATTTTGTTGTATAGATCATGAGAAAAACGTTAGGCCAGGTAAAAAAAACAGCATTTTGAAAAAAAACTCGTTTAAAGTTTTGACTTATGGTAGGGGAAAACTTTTAATTTCATCTATATAATGGTCGATAAATGAAATGCCTACAACAAGTTTCTATATACAGTCAACAGAATGGATGAGACAAAAAAATTGTCGCCCCTCCTAATTCCGCCAAACGGACCTTTCTACCTGCTCAGCGACGGCTCTCTATTTTCCGGTATAACCAGGGTTCATACAGAGATCAGAAGAAGAAATCCAAGGAGTCCAAAATTTTAAGAACTTATCAAAAATTTAAAAACTTTGTGTAAAAGATAGTTTTTTTTTAAAAATTAAAAAGCAGTTATAAGGAACTTGCAAAAAAGTATATTTTGAATTTACTTTCTATCCCTTTTGAAATAAATTTTGACTTTGTCAAACTTAGTCAAGAAAAATTAATTAAGTTATCACTTTGACACATAAATACATTTTCCAATTTCAAATATTTTAATAAATCTTGTTAAAGTACAGATGCTAAGGATTGACATAAAAACCTACCAATCTTATATTTTTAAATTTGAATACATAAGAAAATCTAAGGCATTTTATACCAAAAAAAAAAATNCTATTCTTTTAAAATTGGAGCAAATTATTAATTAAGTTTGCTAGTAACATGTAAATTAGTGAATGGCCCCTAATAAATTTTTATTAAAATTGGTTACCAAGTATAGTATTTCATTAATGAAATGATTAAAAAAAATTAAATAATTTTTAAATGCAAATTCAATGAGTATTGAAGCTAAAAAAATTTGTCAGAAGTAAATTATTATATTCAGGGATGAAAATACCAGTTAGCAAAAAAAGCTGAATTCTACATAAACGCAATCAAACATTATGAAATTAGTAATAAATGTTTGGAGCTTAAAAAGCTGAATTCAGAGAAAAAGCTGAAAACTTTCATGCCTGTATATTGTCCCTACACTCATAATATTTCACAAATCTGTGATAATTAAAATTTTTTATATCAATTGTTTTAAATCAAAGATCATTTAAAGATCAAAGATTTTAAATCAAGAGATGATTTAAAGTATTTTTGAATGATAAATCTGAAAAACATAAGATTTTTTGCTGCATTTAAAATATTGAAAGCCCCTCTCTTCATGCTTGCCTCTAAATATTATTAAGTTTTTTCCTTGAACAAATTAAGAGCACCGAAAATTTTGAAAGTAATAATACAATAATAAAATGCAACAAATAAAAAACAGAAAAATATTATTTAAAAAAAAATCAATTAAGTAAAATTAATGTTTAAATACAATATGCAATTAGTGGATGGTCCTTCAGATAAAAAAATTACGTTTAAGAAACTCAATTTTTATCTCTATTAAATTGAATAAAGGGGAGATGGAAATTTTGAGGTTATGAAGCTTTGTGATTCTTGACTGCTCTGAGGATCAACATGAAAATATGTACTTAGTGAATGGTCCCTCAAATTAATTCAAAGATCATGGTACTAATCTATAAATAGAATAGCGCAAGAAGGCCATTAGCTTGCCATTGACGAAGTCGATAGCACTTCAATGACTATGAAGTAAACAAGAGAAATAAAATTTTCTCTTGCTATTAAAATTTGGCAATGTTTAGTTGGTCCCTGAAAATTCGAGAGAAGTTTCGGTTCCATTTCAGAGAGTGGAAAATGAAGCCTGAAATTGAGAATATCTTGCAAAATAAAGCAGAGTTGCACATGAAAGTGCAAGAATCCTTCCCACTGAATCCAGAGCAACCCACATGGCAGTAGCTTGGTTGCCGCAAAATTGTGACTTCACGATACCCAGGGCAAAATATCCTTTTTGGAGCAATTTACGCCAACTACTTCAATTTGGAGCAGGTTTCCACAATTGGCTCGGATCGGTGCAGCACTTGCACCACTGCATATCATTTAGTTTCCCAGCTTAGACAGCAAATTCATCAGCTGACTTAGCAAGTTCACCTATGCAAAGCAATAATCTAAGGACTAATTTGGAAATCTAGGTAGTTCCAAGTACTCCTTGGAGACTTTTTTATTTCCAAGGAGTCTGTACGCACCCTGCGGTATAACTTCCAAACGAAGTTAGGTACAGAGAAATCGTTTTAGACAGACATTAGGAAGGGTACAAAGATTCGAAAAATGCAATAAAATGTTTTTCGAATTTTTGAAATATTCAGGGTGGGGTCCCCCTTAAAATAAAATGTATGTGTTTTTAATATTTTGACATAAAAGGAAACTTAATGTAAGCTGTCTTCCTTACATCAAGCTTTTATGGGTAATAAGCTGAAGAATTTGTGTTTGTATTAATGCTTACCTGCTTAATTTTCTGTTAAATGTATTTTACAGAAAATTAAGCAGGTAAGCAATTAAGAAAATTAATATTCTGTTAAATGTATTAGGTTTCTAAAAGTTAATATTTATTTATTGGGAGTACAAATTAGTTCGGTCCGTTTTTTTGTGGTCAAAAATGGATTATTTTCATCAAAGTATTGTCGATCGCTGGCTACTACTTTTTCCCACCTCTCAGGCATTTTTCTTTTGAGGCGATTCAAGTTAGGAGCCAATTTTTGATTTCTGCGAAAGAAGTGACCTGCAAAATCTTGATGCTTCCGTCGGAACAACCAGTAATCAGAAGGAGCAATGTCCAGAGAATATAGCTGGTGCGGTAAAATATCCCACTTGAGCGTTTCCAAATAGTTTTTTACGACTCTTGAGACATCAGGCTGACCGTTATTATGCAGAAGAATAACTTTGTCATGTCTTTGCTCGTATTCCGCCCTTTTTTTTCCGTAATGCATGGCTCAAATTAATCAATTGTAGCCTATACCAATCGCCCGTAATGAAATCACCAGTTTGTAGCAGCGCATACTATACAAAACTATTCACCATTCTCTACATGATTTATCAGTTGGAGTATTGTCAACATAAACTTATACAAGCATTCGATGCGCTTCAGCTGCACTTTTCTTCCAATTAAAGCAGAAACATAAAACCTCCCGCAAATGTTGCTTCATTACCGCAAAATTTGACATATTCAACAAAGAAAAAACAAGGTTTTTGTATGAAACTCAAAGCGATATAAACTGAATATTATTGACAGATGTTTAACCTCTCTTAAACCAGCTGTCACTATATAACAGCAGAGCCATTTTTTAAAAACGAACCGAACTAATTTGTACACCCAATAGTTTAAAAGTTAATTTCCTATTAATAGAGAACTATTAACACCTATTCTTTTAAAATTGGATATAGACTCAAGTGTTGGGAAAAACTAATTTTTTCTGTAAATTAATATTTTGTACTGTGACACTGCATTGTACAAAAATAGCCTTTTTTAAAAATACTTTTTGTTGTATAAACATCGTTATCACGAGAGAGACCTGTGCACAATGACAATATNGGCTTTTGTATGAAACTCAAAGCGATATAAACTGAATATTATTGACAGATGTTTAACCTCTCTGAAACCAGCTATCACTATATAACAGCAGAGCCATTTTTTAAAAACGGACCGAACTAATTTGTACACCCAATAGTTTAAAAGTTAATTTCCGTACTTAAAATTTCCTATTAATAGAGAACTATTAACACCTATTCTTTTAAAATTGGATATAGACTCAAGTGTTGGGAAAAACTAATTTTTTCTGTAAATTAATATTTTGTACTGTGACACTGCATTGTACAAAAATAGCCTTTATTAAAAATACTTTTTGTTGTATAAACATCGTTATCAAGAGAGAGACCTGTGCACAATGACAATATAAGATGTTAATATGAAGTATAAACAACACTGCAATTCAATATCACAATTTTCGTAAAGTTTTAAAACTTATAATCATGAATGAATTGGCTAATAAACAGACAAAGATAATGTTTGTTTCTACATTTATTTGTAAGTAGGTAGAAAATACATAATATAAAAAAGGTTTATTTTAACATTTATTTAGACATTTTTTAACAGAATTTCTTAAAAGTTTTATCACTTCTTCAGGGGTGTTACTCTTTGTAATAGCTGTTCCAGAAACTATGAGATTAGCACCAGCCTGGAATTAAATAAGAGGACATTCAGATTATAAAGTTAAAATATTTGAAAAAACTTATATTTTCACAAAGAATTATCCTTTCTGTTTTTTCTTTTTGTTGTGTTTTCAATGTAAACTTATTTCTAGAGTTAATAGACAATGAGTTAGCGCCTAAAGATCTCATAAATGAAGCCAAATTTTTTTTTTTTTTTTTTTTAAATCAGTTTTTATTGCACTTTTTAGAAACAGTGAAACTTTTTCTCTGTATCTGGTTTTTACTTGAGGCATTTTTGTATAAAAATGTCTTAAGTAAACAGTAAGGTAAAGTTAGTTATTTTAATATAAAAATTACGAAACTAAATTTTATTATAGAAATATTGTTTAAGGGAAAATGAGTTTCCCATACCGTTTTGATGGGCATTTGAGTGGGCCCGTAGGAACCAGTTCTCTAAAACAGGCTTGTTAGAAATTCAGTGATTGGCAACAATTGTAACAGTTATTTTTGCAGAGCAGATATTAAAATATTTGTAATTGTTGCTTTTAGTAGGTTCATAAGTTTTAATAGCCAAGAATGTCTAAGCATGACAGAAAAGCTGCACTGTTAAAGTACTTGAATTTAAATCAAACGTAATTAGTCTCAATTTATTAATTGAAAAAAAATTCTGAAATACAGTAGGGAACCGATTATCCGGAACGGTCGGGTCCAACGCTATTCCGGATAACTGATTTTTCCGGTTTTCTGAATCGCTACAAAAAGCCGTTTTTTCTATTGTTAAAGTAGGCTTTCGAACTATNAAAAATTTGGAAATAATCTTAAAAGTAAGAAAAAACGATGAAGTTATACACTAATGATTATTTCCAAAATGTTGGTAAGGTAAACATCTTTAAAAAAAGAAAAAAAAATCGTAAAATCTTATGAGGAAATTTTTTTTTTTTTAAAAAATGGCGAGAAATTTTATCGAATATCGTTCCGGTTTTCTGGGTTCCGGATAACGGGTTCTGTACTGTACATTCAAACATCTTTTTGATTTCATTATTTTTAGCTTATGAAAAACAAGATTAATTTTGCATTTCAAAGGATGTAGAGGATAAAGCAGGATAAGTTTTTTTAAAATTTTTCAGAGTCTAAAGTCTAACTATCTCATTCTCACAAATTTTGTAAAAAGTCTCTCCTTTGTTCTAGAATGACATTTTAATAAAGTAAAATTTAAACAATTATCCATAAAAAAATAATAGATTAATTGAATGATAGATATAAAAAATAGTCTCTCTACATAAAAAAGTGAATGTTCTCCTTGGAAATCTGAATACTTAATTTATGCACATAAATTAGGTGTACACTTTTTTTTTAGAAAAAGGTTCAGGTTAATTTAACTCCCTTCAGTCACAGATTTGCGTTTTATGACCCAAATTATCACTCTAATAGCCCTAAAATGCATATTTGAATGAAAGTAACTTTCTAAAAGGTATGAGCAAAAAAAGTCTATAGAAATCAAATTTATTTAAAAACATACTGTGACAGATAGAGAAATGAAAACATGCCTATTTTAAAAACTTCAACTCAGTACGTGATCTAGTATCAATTCAATTAAAAAGATCCCCCAAACACATCGATTTCAGGAAAGATGCATTAGAAAATAACACCATAATTGATCAAACACTTAAATTGTCTTTTACTAGCACAATCTTCATAAATTCTCTTTTGCTCTCCCTTCTTGTCTTTCATGAAAGAATATTTGTTTCTAAGCATGGCCAATATCTTTAAAACATTTCAAAGCAGATTTCTTCAGTGTGTAAAAAAGTATAAGGACATGTGAAAAATCGCCAATTCTAGAAGTCTTATTTACGAAATTATGGGCAAATTTTTGAAGCAAAAACAGGAGAAAGACTAAATTCTCTTGTGTAATTAAAATGTTCTAATAGAAATCTATTTAAATATACATTTTAACTTTTAAATCCAAATGATTTTGGAAAAAAGTAAAATGAAATTGTTTTTTCTTCCATAATTATTGAAAATAGAAAATGACAATCTCGGGTTAAAAGATATAGCTTAAGAATGATTGTTAGGGGAGTTTGCCAATATATATATATATATATATGTAATATTAGATAAGAA